CGCCCCCGACCCCGCCACTCCCACTGCTACTGCTGCTGCTGCCATTGAATGCTGATGCACTGGCTCCACTTTGGTTATACGCGACTGTCGTTGCATCCGTTTCGCCAAAGAGCGGCGTGTAGCGTCCCTCGTAGGGCAGCACAATTTTGGTGGGTATGGTGCCAGGTAACGGTATGTTGATCAGTGGATAGCTAAACCAAGGAGAGAAAGAGAGAGAGGGAGAGAGAGAGAGTGATAGAGTGGACGCATTCGCTTTTAATTGTGCTATTAAATAAATTTATTTAATGCGGCTATTTTGTGAGCATGCGCGTGCCTGACTCCATTATAACCCACAACTTTTAAATTGTTAAAAAAAATATATATATATATATTTAAAGATGAAATATAATTTATATTAATAAAATATACAACATCAATTATATTTTATGCATGCTAGCTGGTCTTTCGGGCCCATCCTTGATTTTGTATAATATATGATTTAATTATTTTGTATTTATTTTTGTATTTTATATTAAATTTTATTTCGAATCGCTTTTCTTTTCCTATTTTTTTATTCCTATTCTTGCCAATTCTGGATTTGCAATTTATATTCCAATTAAAATAGTATTCATATCAGAATCCAATTGGCATATAAACTTCTTGCATAATCCAATTTACTTTTTGTCTGTGCATGTTCTCATTTCTTTTTCTACGCTTGCTCCTGTTCCTGTTCCAGCTAGTTTTAAATTCTCTTTTAATTCATGTTCTTATTTCTACACACATTTATGTTATCTTTCAATTATATTTGCCTTAGTATCACAAACACCGAGTACCTGTGCGAACACCTTTCACCTTTTCACCTTTAGATCTTCAAATCGAATTACAGGGTAACAGCTAGTCAAGCACCAATCAGTTAATTCATTTAAACGCATTGTTGTTGCTGCTATTAGCGATCATTAGTTTTGTCATCTAACGCGTGCGTCCCAAACGATTTCCCGAGACATCTATAATCAATACACATGTATGCGTGCATGTGTATGTGTGCGCGCATTTGATTTATCAACGCTTCGGTTTAGTGCTCAACATTTTATACATTCAAGGTTAGCGGGCCAAAGCGACAACAACAACAGCTGGACGCTAGGCACGATCGAGCCCATCATTCGAAAGGTGAAACATTTGCGGCTGCCAACTGATAAGAGATTAGGCAATACAACCAAAAAATAAAACAAAAAAAAAACATTGGGCATTACACCCCTGATAAGGCAGACTCAAGGGCTGGTTGGCAACTGAAACGGATGGGGACTTATTTTAGTTTTGAAAAGGTGAGAGAGAAGGAAGTTGACCATTTAAAGAAGAATATGAGATTCTTAACATGCATGTTAACTTAACATGCATGTTAACTCGAAATGAGTTAATATTTAGGTTTGCAATTAGTGAACATATTTATTTATAGAGATGTATGGAGATTAAAGCTTTGCTTATTAACCAGCTGTTTTTAGTTATCTTGAATTTTTGCGGGAGTCAATGTTATCTTATCATCAGGTGACCACAATTTCAAGATAGATTTTAGCCAGCTTTATATAATATACTGTATTATAGATTAAACGTTTTCGTTAGGATTTGCTTAACTTTTAAGAACTTCTTCCTTTTAAATAATTATGTGAAGCTTTTATAATCTTATAAAGTCGTATAGTCTCTTACAAGCTGTTACCAATGCGATTGAAAAAAGGAAATGCTCGACAAATAATTGTGTATTTTTCGGTTGCCCGTTTGACGCTTATTCATGGGCTACCTACGAAACGCCTTCTCTATAAGGCCGCATGGAATACTATCTATACAACTAATTCGGGCATAAAATGGAACAAATGCCACATGTGTTGCTCGCACACATATTAATAATGTATATAGAAATATATATATATGTGTGTGTGTGTGTGTGTGTCCGAGCGTATTATTAAGTTATTCAATAATTTCAATTATCTATCGGACACTGTGCCGCAACCTGAGTATTTTGGGGGCAGTCTGGGGTCTAGACATTGTTTATTTATTTGTTCATCGTTTAAAATTGATAAAAATCTTTTGTGCGCGTGGCTCAACGCAAAATCGGACAAATGTTCATGTACATATAGACAGATGAACGAACATATACTTATAATTGAAATGTTTTTTTGCATGAGCTAAAAATAAAAGTAAGTTTAATGAATTGAAGAAACGTGCGTTAGCTAAACTGAATCGAATTGCAGTCCACATTTAAATCTATATACATATTTGATTGAACCTTTTAAAATCAATCGATTTTATAACAATTAAATACACAATCTGCATGAATATTTGTGCATTAGCGGCATTGCATGTCAGGCTTATCAGGCACACTTTACGAGGCGCAAATTCATATTATGTATTCATTTGTATATATAACATATATAACATTCATGCTATATAGAATAACTCGATTGACGCATGCTCTATGGGTTCAATAATTTGTGCTGATAATAAATAAATATTATTATCTAACTGCAATGCAAAGCTAATTTTCAATCAGGGTTTTTCTTCAGGCTATTCTTAGTATCTGTTGAGGTTTGTCAAGTTCTCTCAATAAGCTGGAAGAAGATCGAGGAAATACTTATCCAATTCTTAAGTAAAAAAAAACTAATGCATTAACGAGAAGCTTTTACCTCGTGCACCCAAAAAATGCTCACATAAAGCATATTCTTTGCTTACCAGGGTATTCACTTTCGGCCTTTCTAAAGTTAACTAATTTTTTTTTTTTTTTTTTTTTTTAATTTCCTAAAGTGTTAAATCGGCTTTATAGTATACTTTTTTATGATAGAGCTGCGCTGAGTCACGTTGATCGGAATTGCGATAAAAATGAATGTGCATTAGACATGCAAATTCCCACAAGGGTTGTTCATCCTGCAGGACAGTGGGAATAAACACATACATACGTCACGCCCATATATATGTTTCATATATATGCATGTGCGTGTGTGTATGCATGTATTGGCGTAACGATTCGTGCAAATAAACAACTTGCCAAATTTCTGACTTCTATATATATGTGGTTATGGACAATTCCCAGAATTCGCTGAACGATTACCCAAACTATAACGAAGCGTATATATAAAATACGGGAAGAAGAGACCAGGTTGACCGATTAGAAGTTACCCTGTATGCCAGACTTGTGTTACCGAAACTTACATCACCCTTTCTTATAAGTATGCCCAACTCGCATTGCTCAAATTGATCGATATTTATCGATTTTATTATTAAACTAGAAATAAATATTTATCGATCAAGAAACTTCACTTTGCGTGAGGTATAACGCACATTCTGAATCATATCGATACCAGCTCAAAGAACACAAATGAATATTTATCGACCTTCCATAAAAAGGCGGAGTTATCGATCATTTAAAGTAATACACGAAAGCTTGCATATTAAATGCCTTCAAGCCAACTTCAATTTACAGGGTATATGAAGAAAACAAACTTACCACGAAAGCAAAATCGCCATTAGAGCAATGCTGGAGGCGCATGTTGGATAGCTGGATAGAAATAAGCCGTGCTTGTAGTAAAAATGCGAAACCGAAGCCGGCAGGCCGGATGAAGTGGACGCCGTTGTTGAGGCGGCTGTGGTGGCCGTCGATGGTGAATTGATTTTAAGCTTTGGCGATTTACCGTTGCCATTTGCGGTGATTGGCTGCGACGCGGACGCAGCAGCCGCAGCCGCAGCCGTCTTGGCAGAGCCATCTGTTGCGGCTGCCATGCCGCCTGGCTATGCACAGCCTCACACACACGCGCACACAGATAACGAGAGAAAGAGAGAGAGCGCGCAACCGGAATTTACAGCAGAGGTAAACACACAAGCAGAGAGATATTGGAGTGAGAGCGAGCGAGTGTGGTGAACTTTAAGCGTTGATTCTAAACGTAAACTTTGAGTTTTGGCTTCTTAAACTTTTCAATGCCAAAAATTACGCAATTTCGCATATGCAACGCATCATTTGCGTAGGCGACGCGTTCACGCTTGTCGCAGTAGCAGCAGCAGCAGCAGCAGCGGCAACGGCAGCAGCGGCAGCTATATTATTTATTAATAGTGTTGATTTTGGCTTTGCCGCTGCCGTCGCTTTGATTTTCACTTGAATTATAATATCGACACATTTTTGCATTCTGCTGTATATTGATTTTTCTTTTTCTTGCGCTTCATTCGCACCTTTTGGCCCCAGTTTGTTGTTGTTGTTGTTGTTGTTGTTGTTGTTAATTAATTGACATTTTCGCGCATCTTCACTAGCCGCGCGCATACACATACACATACGCACACAGATACACGTTTACATTTGGACGCGCTGCTCGCACATTCAATCTATATGCATATGAGTCGACTATTTAGTATTGTTGCTGTTGCGTATTCTTATCAAATTATCAATCAATAAAATCACACAAGAAATGGCTTTTCATTATGTGTATTGCGAATTGCCATTGGCTCAGCACTTTTCGTTCTAGCTTGCTTTTCCTTTCTGCCCTTTCTGGTATTTTTTTTTTTTTTTTTTTTGCACGGTTAAGACGCATAAAGTTCTACTGCGCGCTTTTTGTGCCCGGCCCGTTGCTGTTAACTTTTAATAAATTGTTGTGTTGCACTTTATAGTATTTATAAATATGTATATATATTTATTGTAGTTGAATCATTTTATCGTTTTATTAAACACGTTTTTCCTTGCGGCAGGCGCACAAGTTTGTTCGTTACTCACGGCACGATAACTTTGAAAGAACAACATTAAACAGCTGAGCATGCCTAACAGCTAAGCGTCTGTGGGCACCCAAAACTTTTAACATACGCTCAAATGCTATTAACAGCACACAGGCAAATATCGATATATATTTTGATATTAACAGCAGCTATTTGAAGACTGCCATATTGCTGTTAAAGCGGTTGTAATTTCAAAAGTTTTGTTTTGTACGTTTAAGTTGGATTATTTATTTATTTATTTGGTTTTTGAGCGCTTATGTTTAAAAATGTACACATTATTGTATGCTTTTGATTTTACACCAAAATTAAATGTAAAATAGTCATATAATTGAACAAGAACCTTTTCGAACTGTTTCATTAGTTTGAAGTATTACCTCAATGAGCATAAATCTTTTTTAGCCTTATTTTGAATATTATGTACACTATATAATTCGCAACAGGTCTATGGAACTAGCTACAAAATTTGACGGGCTCTACAAGAAACCAAACCTAAGTTTGGCTATCTCAACCAAATTGTGTAATAAATTGACGGTTATAATAGACATAGACATAGCCTGTTCTCCATATTCGCGCTATACTAGTCAATCTTTGTCGTGGGCATAGTATACTCTCCCGTCATCGTCTCCGTTGTAACATACTCCTGCTGTGGCGGCAGCTGATGATACAGCACATGCTCCGAGCCCGGTGGCGTATACGTCTCACGACCCCCACCGACATTATTGTGTACGCCATTCTCATTGCATCGGCTCTTCCCGGAGCCGAACAGCAAAACTGTTCCTTTGCTGAGCAGCGGACAGAGCAGCGCCTGATGGCAACAGGCGAACAGTCTGTAGTTTTGACCCTGAAACGGATCCGACAGGGCCGCGCACAGCATATGATCCAGATTGATGCCCGTCAACTGTAAAGGATATACAAAAAGAAGAGTAGTTGACAGGTATTAGGCGTCTTTCTTCGAATCAAGTTAGTGTTCAGCTAAAGCAGTGCCCATTCTGACAAGTTACCCTATTTCCCGCATTTTCCACACGAAGAAGTGAATTAAACAAAACGAAAGTTTTGTTCCCAACAAATATTTGGCTCAATTGCAATGCAGTAACCCAGCTCTTACAGTTGGACTGTCAATCAGACAGTCAGTCAGTCAGTCAGTCAATCAAACTTACGATGGATAGTGGCGAGAGCAGCAAAAAATGATAGAACAGCATAAAGGCCGTGCCGATTTTGACCCACTTAAAGTCGCCCAAGTCCTCGATTGTGTAGGCGCCTAAAAGTAGACTCGATTGATTAGAGATAAATGCAGCGAACTCAAGACGATATACCACTTCTCAAGATGTAAATGGGTATGATGTAGAGCAGCGCATGCTGTATCCAATAGGTGGCCTGCTCGAACGGGTAGGTGCGTCCCTCGACCTCGGGAAACACAAAGGCCAGAAATGGTCCATTCAAATTGCTCATCTGTATGCGAAACAGGGCCGTTGTTGTCTTTGTGGGCTTGGCAGCCAGCAAATAGATCTGGGTAAAAACGAGGTGGCATTAGTTAATGCCCTTAGCAGACATAAAGCAGATCTTACCTGCAGACACGTTTGCACATGGCAAGGATTCAGAGCAAATATCATCGAACCTCCGGCCAGCTTGAAGCCCATCTCAATGCCAAAGACAAAGGACATGCTGATGAGCAGGAATAGTCGCATCGGACTGTGCGATTTCTGTATCTCATGTGCCGGCGGCAATCGTATGGGCGCCAAACGCTTCCAGTTCCCGTGCATGATATAGATGAACAAGGCGGAGAGCAGCGCCGTTTCGGTCCAGCGGCGTCGATCGGTCATGTAGTTGATGCACTCGGGTCCCGTGGTGCGTGGTATCTCATCCGTAATGCCGCCCACAGCCCAATCCCACTCCATTTTGACAGTCTGTTCCTTTTACCCTTAAGCCTCGACTTCCTCCACTTTACAGCGCCTCAAGGAACTGCATTATACAAATGGAATCCTGTATTAAGAACTTGGCCACAACCCCCGAAAACTTGGCTCCGCCGTAAAATATTAACCGCATTGCGTGTTGCTAACAGCCCGAAATAAAAATTGTTTCAAAATTGTTTGTATGGCGTTTAAATAAATTGCCTGCCGCATGCCAACCTTCCCACTTCCGCCCTGCACCGGCGGGTAAGACCCAAGCAAAGACCAATAATATACATAAACGACCTGATGTTATCGGAACAAAAGAACGTGCCCGAAACCCAAGGAAATACAAACACAAAATTTAATTTATAAATTCGCAAGAATAAGAAAAAGTTTTGGTAAAGCAAACAACCCAGTCAATTTTGGAGGTTTAAATGTCCATAAGAAGAAAATATTCGGATCCTAATTCTATTTCCCCTAATTTCTGAATACCATAGTTTCCGGTTTACGGCGCTTTTCCTTGGGCTTACCTTTCCCTAACTACTAAATAGGCACCTGCCTACAATTTCCCAATCCCCCAACAGCCCCAGCATGCCCTCATTTTTTGTTGGACGACTGTCAAGTGAAAAGGCATGGCATATGCATTGTGTGGGCCACTTGTTTAATTTGTTGTTAGGGCAGAAAATAGAAAAGTACTCGGGAGTGCCCAAACAGTAAATTATTCTTAATCTATGTATACTTTAGGAAACCTGGTATCCTCCATTTGGTGTCAATCGATATCGATATTTATCGATTGCCTAGAAAAGGGCGAGCTACCGTAGATTTGAGACAAGCTTGATCTGTGCGATAAATGCAAGAAGCTATGTTCTAAATTTCCAAGCCTCCAGCTTTTACTATATGAAGTCACAAAAGCCTTCTTCTGCCTGTCACATACACTTGCAGAAAACGAGTATACCCATTCTTGCACATGCTCCATATGGGTTTGGGCTATAAAAACTGGGCCGTGGTGGGGGTGTCTGTGTGGGCTGTGGGGGTGTCGGGCTAAATGCATATATTACAAAACTGCATTGAACATGAATTGTTGTCAACGTTGACATCTGCCGCAGCTGCGTCTAAGCTTGGCCAAGTGCCAAGATTGAAGGTTGTGCCAGTTGGTCAGTCACAGTACCAGTCACAGTTCCACCTGCAGTCCGTTTCCCACACCTAACGGCTTAATTATAAATGGTTTACAGCGAAGGCTCTACTATAGAAAGCATGAGTGGGTTATTTTTGGGTTCTTTCGCTTAAGGGAGCGTTGACTGTACTTGTGTGTATGTTTATATACTCCTCCCTCATATTATTATATTTAAATTATTATATTATTTATAGATAAATTCTCAAGTATTAGTGTACTTATTAATTTGACCACAAGTGTATGTATATATACATATGCATATTGTATTTACAGGTGCAGTTATTTTAAAGCCTACTTTCCAGCATTTCTGTTTGGGTGAATGATAACACGCACACACACACACATACAAGCACACAAACGCATACAGACACACAATAAACAAACGCTTAACGGTTTTCATTGTCAAGTACAGGCAGATGCAGAGGCAAATGCATTAAGTGCGAGCGAGCAAGAAATAAAGAGAGAGCATCAATGGAAAATGAGCAAGCGAAATGTTTACAAGGTTTTTGGCCAGCGGCTGAGGCGGCGGCAGAGGCAACGGCAGCAAAGCTTGGCCGGCCAAGCGCCATTTGTGTCAGCTGTTTGCCAAAAGCGAACAGCAGAGGGCGCCACCAAAAACACTTAAAAACAGCGGCCGTTTCCTGATTCGATTTTTCAAGCTGTTTAATTTACCAAATAACCTGACTTGCCTTTGCTTTATTTATATAGTTAATGAAAAATTACAAAATTTATATATTTATTGATATAAGCAATTGCTCACTTTTACCGTTGGTTGTTAATACACACAGCCTCGTGGTTTCACAGAAAGCTCCACGCGACACTTGAAGCCAATCGCGTATTTTTTTATTTTTACATAGGACTCATTTATTTTATGTGCGCCACACTCTTGATTTATTTATAATTAAGCACATTCTCTATGCTCACTTATGAAATTGCATGGCAAATTGCCTCGAATTGAAGAAAAATTAAATATGGCAATATATGTTGCGAGCGTAAAATAAAACGCGTCGCAACGTCAACTGTGAATGCGTTTGCGACTCTTACTGACTGTCTGTTGACGCTGTGTCTGTATTTATCCCCCAAATGGGGGTTGTTTCCGGCAGTGGTTTGTTAGCGACTCCTTGCAAGGCATTTCAAATCGTAGCCGAGCGTTGTAAACCTGTCTTTTCGACTTGATTTTATGCAGAGTGGAATGTGCTTTTAAAAAAATGACACATTGCCTAATTTCAAAATAGAAATTGTTATTGTAACCGTTATTTTTAAAGCTTTCATTCGCTTTTCAATTCTAAATATTTCTAATATTTAAATATGCTTTCTTAGTATTAACGATATCTGACTATATTTTATCAAGATCAACATAAAAAATATATTTCTTTAGACATGTTGACTTAGCTAGTGCATTGTACGACTTTGCAGTCCTTAGAAATTAGCATATTCACCACATTGCTAGCACTCCCGAATTCACCACAGTTGTCTCGAGAGCGGCCTCACTCACTGAGAGCACGGAGCTTTTACGCGCTCACTCGAGGTTTCGTCGACCAGCGAGGTCTTTGTCAATTTGGCGCCAAAACACGCACGCACACACACACACACACAAACACGTGCAGATACATGTATGCAGTTAGATGCACTAGCAAGGGCATTTGTATGTGTATGTGCATAGCGTACTCACATGACAATGCGATTGCGACAAATTGGATTAAGAGCAAACATAAAATGCGAATGCGAGTGGACACGATAAACTGATCTGCTTAGAGAAGCTTTGGCGATAATTATGAAATAATTATTTGCACATGTGCATATAAAAATTATGAGTATAATGGGAAAAGTAATAGTGGGCGTTTCCCAATTTGATGTAAGTATTTACATGTATGCATGTATGTACATTAAACTCATACAGTTGAATCACGATTATCCGTGTTGCTCAATACGCAGCTCAGTACGGATAATCCGAAAACCCAATTGAAAGAAGTCACATGTTAAAATCGACAGCTTAGTAGAGTCCCGGATAATCAATTTTCAACTGTATTTTCATTATTTTAAAATACTCAAATTGTGCACCCATTTATTACCTCCGTTAAATCATGTGACTCTTCGAAACGCGCGACGTTACCGTTAGCGTCCGGAACAGGCAAATGAGCGCATGTAACTGCAATTAAGCGAATACTAACGCAAAACACAACAGAAACGGTCGAGCTAACGAATACGAGGAACCACAACATTAACAAAGAATGCAAAGAGTGCCCGACTAGCGGATACCCAGGCTTGCTCAGTAACTTTAACATCTTTAGATCAGTTTTAGGCTTTGAATCCTATTCTTTAAACATACCTCGATATTTAACGATTAGCAAGATATTACGTACTTATTTATACAGTTGTTCATGCTTCATTTTACGCCTTTGCAATGGTTACAGGGTAAAACAAATATATGTAACGAAACGAGTGACAATTTCTGATGGAAATGCAAATGGTTGAATGTGCGAGTAGCACAGCAATAGGCACATCCATGTAAATCAAATTAGTCAAATGCAGAAATGATTTATTTACAGACACGGTGCACGTAAATTATCATTGTCATGCTCAATATCTATCACTCGTGCACTGTTGTTGACCCTGAACAGATAATACAGATATATAAAGGGTACTCTTCGTTAAACATTAAATTAATCGATAAATCGATTTGACACCTCGCCAATTGAATCGACTTGGTTAAATAACGGTAGCACAGAGTTGCCATAGACAAAATCTTGTAAGTAAGAAATAATTGATGTGCATTGAAATGCAATTAAGTGAACGTTTATTCGATATATAAAAATCATATTGCTTAAAGTTAAGAGCAAGTGTCTTCGGATTTCTTTAATGATTTCCACGCAGCAGAACAGAGTCGGATCATTCTTTATTGAATACACAATGGGATGTCACTCAGACGATAAAGCAGATTTTGGTGTCGTTTTGCTTCTCAGTATTTATAAGAATCCTCGCCCAGCTAGTCCACGCTCATCCAATAAAATAGCAAATCGTACTCCAGAGGGCATACACATGACAGAGGCGCCAAGATCCAATGACCAGGTGCTCCGTCCTTCCGTGATTTCCAAGCAAAAGCCACCAAAGTATGCTGGGCAGGCCGTACTAAATATTGCTTGAAGATACCTATTAAAAAAAAATAAAACGACTCGTTTTTATACAAAAATGTACGGCGGAACTTCACATTAAAACAAAGTTTTATCGAAGAGATGCACACAGACGGACAATGTTTCGTTGATCCAATCCAATGATATATTTTGTCTCAAAAAGCATCATGTACAAAGATATTCTCCAATGGTATTCTCAAATAGAAAGCTTTTAGAAAATAGAATACATAATCTCACAAATTCCCACCCGAACAATAATTACATTTTATATACCTTTCTTTGTCCTCGCTTATTTGCCTTTGAGCAACTGTTGGATTTCATCTAAGCTCTTGCCCTTCGTCTCCGGCACACAGAAAATGACAAAAATGCACGATGAAAATGAAATGACAGCGAATCCCCAAAACGTGATCGCCGAACCGAACTCCAGCACGCATACCGGAAACAATTTGGTAACGGCAAAAGCAAATAGCCAAGTACAGGTGGCCACGATGGCGCCACAAATGGGCTTGACATCCTCCGCGAACAGCTCGGCCATAACCAGCCACGGCACCGGGCCATAGCCCACCGAGTAGCCAATTTCGTATACACAAACGGATGTCACAGCCACCCAGCCGACATTCAAATCCTTCATGCCCATATAATAGAAGCCCAACACTAGGGTTGTGATGCCCATCAAGACACCCGAGAATATCAGCAGCATTTTTCGACCAAGTCGATCGATGTACATAGTTGCCGGAATCGTCGATATGACGCTAACAGCGCCAATGATAATGGTGCAGACTCCCGTGGGAATCCCAGTGCCGGCTTCCTCGAATATGCTGGCCACATAGAAGGTGATGGCACAGATGCCCGTAAACTCCTGGAACACCATCAGCGTTACGGATATGAAGATGCCTCTGATTGTGGTCTTGCGCGAGAATGCCTGGCCACAGGTGGCTTTCTTCTTTTGGGTATCTGCGATTAGGATAGCCATGTCTGCGCTTATATCGGCATCGGCGGCACGCAGCCGCCGGAGGACGCTCTGCGCCTTGTCGGGCCGTCGCTTCTGCACGAGATATACGGGCGATTCGGGTACCCAGATTAATAGCACAAATATAACGATTGACATGATGCTGCACAATATGTTAAAGGTTTCTACCGAACAATAGCTGCCAGCTATAAAGCTAAAGAGTGTTCCGTTTACGATCATCAATTGGAAAAAGAATCCCATAATGCCGCGGCTCTTCACCTCGGCTATCTCCGTTGTGTAAATGGGCGCGGCGACGCTGTACGCCCCACTGCAGGCACCCAAAACGAAGCGTCCGATGAACAGCATACACACATGTTGGGCAAATAAAATGCATGCCCAACCCAAGAAAAATGGCACGGCCAGCAGCAGCATAACCAATTTGCGTCCAAATGCAGCTATCAGCACTCCGGATGGCATGCACATGCTGGCGGCGCCCAGATCGAACAGCGAGGCGGTCCAAGCGAACTCATTTAGGGTGGGCGTAAATTTGTATGCGTTTCCGGCCAGGATCGAATGCTGGACGGGTCCCGACCAGCCCTCCGAGGTGCCCAAGCAAAAGCCACCAAAGGATGCCGAGAGGCCGGCCAGATATTGCTTGAGTATGCCCATGTCGTGATATTTATGTTATATATTATTTAATTTATGAACGAAAAAACCCCGAATATAATGAGGCTGCTCGATCTGGAATAGCTTGCGAAAGTTTAGCATGGAATTGTATACACTAGCTAAGGGCCACGCCCACTTCTGCCAACACAAATTGCAACAAAATATGAGTGTATTGCGCAGTCGGTAGCAGAAGAAGCAGAGAAAGGTGTTCTATAATTAAATCAGGTATATAACAAATATGTAGTTAATATAAATAAATTTAAATATCTGTAAAACGGGATTAAGAAAATTCAATTAGCTTGTAAAATTGCTCTGCGATAGGAGGTGTTTAATGGTATTACTTTCTTAAAATCGAATATATTAATAAATATCTGTATACTCTCACATAGCTGACCGACCAATTGATTAGCATGATCAATTGTTGAAGCGGATCAGTCGAATATATAAAGATTATAATATTCAGATACCTTTAGCCTTTGAGCAGCTCTTGGATTTGATCTAAGCTCTTGCCCTTGGTCTCCGGCACAACGAAAATGACGAAAAAAATCGATAAGAATGAAATGACACAGAAGCCCCAAAATGTCGTTGACGGACCGAGATCCCGCAAGCATAATGGAAATACTTTGGTGACACAAAAGGCAAATAGCCAACTACAGGTGGCCACAATGGCGCCACAAATGGGCTTCACATCCTCCGCAAACATCTCGGCCATTATAAGCCACGGCACCGGGCCAAAGCCCATCGAGAGCCCAAAGACGAATAAACAAACGGCGGTCATGGGCAGCCAGCCGACCTTTTTCTCCATTAGCCACTTGAAATAGGCGCCCATTATGAAGGTGGTGAGGAACATTAATATGCCGGATACAATCAGAAATATGCGGCGCCCGGCCATATCGACAAATAAAATAGCCGGTATCAATGCAACCACTCCGACCACGCCAATTATTATGGTAGAGATCGCCGGTGACAGGCCAGTGCCGGCCTCCTCGAAAATGGTGGCCACATAGAAACAAATGCCATTAATGCCGGAAAATTGCTGGAACAGCAACAGCATGATTGTAATGCATAAGCCCTTGATTGTGACCTTGCGCGACAATGATTTACAAATGTTGGTCTTCTCCTTTTTGCTATCGGCGTTCATTGCAGCCATGTCAGCGCTAACATCAGAATCTTTTCCACGCAGCCAATTCAATGCCTTTTCTGCCTGCTCCGTTTTGCCCTTCTGCACGAGATATACCGGCGATTCGGGCATCCACATGAATGTCAAAAAAAATATGGCCGGAAAAATGGCGCACAGTATGTTAAGTAAAAATACTGTGCATAAACTGCCAACCACGAAACTAAAGAGTATTCCAAGCGCAAACATTAGCTGAAAAAAACAGCCCAGTACGCCGCGTGTCTCGACCTGGGCAATCTCTGTCGTGTATATGGGCACCGTTAGGCAGAAGGTGCCAATGGAAGCGCCCAATATAAAACGTCCAATTAATAGCATGAACGGACGTTGTGCTCCAATGATACACACCCAGCCCAATAGACAGGGCAACATCAGCAACAGCATAATCAATTTCCGTCCAAATCTAAAAGTCAATATTCCAACGGGTATGCACATGCACGCAGCGCCCAGTGTAAACAGCGAGGCAGCCCAACTCCATTCATCCAGGCTGGGCGCAAACTTAAATGCTTCACCCGCGAGTACGGAGTGCCCCACGGGACCCGACCAGCCAAGGGATGTGCCCAAGCAGAAGGCACCGAAGGCTGCCAACAAACCGGCACAATATTGCCTTATGTGTCCCATTTACGAACAGTATATGGATTTTTGAATATAGATTTTAAATGTGTATGCTAAAAGGCTTCAACCATGTTTTTAAAATAAAATTAGAATGGCTTTCGATTTCAACTGTCAAAAGTATTTCATTCAAAAGTGCTAGATTCAAAATTGTAAGCACAAATAGCGCGTAAAAATCAATTTAATTCCAACGGCATTTAAATTCGATAAGACAATTTATCGATTCACTGTTATCGCTGTTAATGCTAAGCAAATATGGCTAACAGCACATATGCATGACTTTGCACTTTAGCGCCATGTTAAGCTGCTGCTGTTATGTTATGTTATGTTATGTTAGAGCTCTTGATGGCAAAAGCTTTGAATGTATGGAATATTAAAATTGTTTTGTCAAGAAATATTTTATGAAATTATACATAATACCAAAAGTGCTTGTATAGTCCGGACCATAAATGTTTAAGATCCCTTACTGACCAGCTTCTGAATTCAAAGTTAATAAGCATACAAATCGTTCAATAAACCCAAATATGGCAAGCTTTCGGTATAAGTTATGAATATCACCGTTCCTCAAATAAATGCTAAATAAAGCATAATCAACAATTATTATGTACACATCGGGCTGACCGTTCTAATTGATTCAGATACTCAGATGTGGAAATTATTCCATTAACAGAAACTGCAAATAGCAGCCCACGAATACCCAATTGCATAAATGCGAGCAATAAATGCCCAGCGACAGGCATCCATAACGATTATCCAATAAGCACCATACATACTTTTTTTGGGCGTCACTGCTATAGAAAAATGCATCAATCAGTATTCCAGTATTTCCTGCATTCATTCCCGGCCTCTCAGCGGATCCAGCTCCTGTAAAGTCCATTTCAGTGGACCTCCTTATCAGGTATGCATAGACAGTGAGGACCTCCATCACAGCAGACCCAAGGAAATGGGTCTTGGGCCCCCAATAATCTAGAATCTATTCACAAAATAAAAACGCGCCGACATTCATACCACGCACAAAATACAGCAAGGACCTTCTCAGGTTCCCCTTTCGCTGCTCAACAGCAGAGAGGACTTCCTCTTCCTTTAGGTATTCACATTTTTTTCACATATTTTAAATTTTGCACATTTCTATAATTTACTAAAAAAAAAAAAAAAAACAACTAGAGCACGGACACTTCTAAAGCCAAACAAACTTTTCACAACTGAGCACTCAATACTGACCGAGCGGATTGTTAGAGTAGAAAAGTAAAACAATAATTTGACAGCAGAGTCAATGACACTATTCTCAGAAAGACTTTTCAAGGAATTAGTTTTTTAAAAATTCGAATAAACCCATTTGGGGATCCTATATCAAATGCATATATATATTTTATTTTAGAAGCTATATGTCAAGTTTCGTGACTCTAGCTCTTATTATTTACCAAAATTGCCCAAAAAACAGAATATCGATATCGATTTATCGATTGCTTGGAACCGGAGTAAGTTATCGATTATCGGAAACAAACTAGATCTGCGCGGGAACTAGGAGCACCTACATCAAAAATTTCAAGTCTCTAGCTCTTAAATGTTCTGAGATCCTTGCGTTCATACATACGGACGGACGGACGGACGTACGGACAGACAGACGGACATGGCTAGATCTCGGCTATTGATGCTTATCAAGAATATATATACTTTATGGGGTCGGAGATGCTTCCTTCTGCCTGTTACATACATTTGGATTTTGCACAAATACAATATACCCATATAACCATTTTTAATGGGTTTAGGGTATAATAATTAAATATAAATAAATTTAAATAGAAAATATAAATAAATATAAAATATGTCCACTTGGGCAAAATACTTTGAGTAACAAAAAAAAAATTGCTCATACAAGGAACCGAAAATTATTTGGAGCGGACAGTAAACTTTTTTTTCATAATGGCTTTAGAACTGAGAGACCCTCTTCCTTCATCAATATATATATACTTTGAGGGGTTCAAGATCGTGTAAGCCAGACTATAAAAAAAATAATGATATCAGATATAACTCTCAAGCTTAAGCGATAGGCGGATTGGAAGAGATGGAAATGGAGTAAGATATGAACATTTTTATATTTTGTAAAGAAACGAATAAGAAACGAAAAAAAAGCATATGTTCAATAAAAATTAATTTCGATAGTGATCAGAAAAACACAAATATCAACAAATTTTGTATATATTTATTTCAAGACAGCGGAATACATGTATTGGTTTTTTTCTCGCCAATTATCCGCCAAGAACACCTTGAATCTCATCGATAGTCTTACCCTTTGTCTCCGGGACAAAGAAAGCAACAAAAAGACATGCTAAAATTGAGAATACTGTAAATACCCAAAAAGTAACTACCGGACCGAATTGTTCTAGGATGAGCGGAAATAATTTGGTGACAGCAAAGGCAAACAGCCAACTGCTGGTGCCCACAATTGCGCCACAAACGGGCTTCACATCCTCCGCGAATAGCTCGGCCATAATTACCCATGGCACCGGGCCGAAGCCCAGCGAGAAACCGACCATAAACAAGCATATCGCCAGTATGGGTAGCCAGCCAACATTTTCGTCCTTCAGCCACTGAAAGTACCCGCCCATCAGCAAGGTGGTGACGCCCATTATAATTGCCGACACGAGCAGCAGCAGCTTCCTGCCGGCCCGCTCCACAAGCAGAATGGCCACAATTGTGGCGAATACTTGAACAACGCCCACCAGTATCGAACAGGTGTTCGGCGAGAGGCCGGTGCCGGCCTTCTCGAAGATGGCGTTCACATAGAACAGAATCGCATTGATGCCCGTAAACTGTTGCAGCAGCATCAATGTCATTGCGATGCCAAGTCCCTTCCAGGTCACCTTACGCGACAACGCCTGGACGAACGTGGCCTTCTCCTTATTACTGTCGGCGGCCATGGCGGCCATATCGCCGCTTACATCTGCATCGCCTCCACGCAGCCATTTCAATGCCTTTTCCGCCTTCTCCGTTTTGCCCTTCTGCACTAGAAAGACGGGCGATTCGGGCATCCAAAAGAATATTACCAGGAACACAAGCGGCAAGATGCCGCACAACACGTTGACGAGAAATGGCTCGCAATAGGCGCCCACAATAAAACCATAAAGAATACCATGCACGATAAGCAACTGGAAAAAGCAGCCCATAACGCCCCGAAACTGGATCTCTGCTATTTCTGTAGTATATACGGGCGCCATAACACAAAAGGCGCCACCGCAGGCGCCCACAACGAATCGGCCAATATATAGCATGAACGTTTTTTGCGCTCCAATAATACAGCCCCAGCCAAGAAAATAGGGTAACGTGATTATCAGCATGATTAGACGACGTCCAAATGCACCAATCAATATGCCAACGGGCACGCACATGCAGGCGGCCCCAAAATTTAACATCGAACTAATCCAACTCCATTCATCGTTGCTGGTCGCAAACTTGTAGGCAGCACCAGATGTTACCGGCTGCTCCATGGGGCCGGACCAGCCAATTGAGGCGCCTAAACAAAAGGCACCGAAGGCCGCAGTCAGGCCGGCCAAATATTGCTTAATGACGCCCATTCCAGTATAGGATATACAAAAGTTTTTAGTTTCTCTCTTAAAACCAAGACAATTTTAAAATAAACTGAATAATCAAAAAGACAATTCCCTATTGAAAACAAAAAAACTAACAAATTTTGCACTCTACTTAACATACCATAACAAACCAGTTGGGGTATTGGACTAATTCGAAAATATCGGGCCCAGGTAAATGTGGCAGACAAATAAAAGTTAATATGATGCTCGAAATTGGGATGAAACACCCAACCATAAAATATATAGATGCTTCAAATATTCAAATAATCGAAACAAGAATTTTGTGGACCAGAGAAAGTAAGACGGCTAATAAATATAATAATAATATAATAATAATATAAATCTGTTTATTACTTATTAACTCAATGATAATGTAACGCAAGCTCTCATGAGGCTAACTCGCCTTAAAAACTCATGTTTCGATTATTTTGGCATTTAGCATCTACATATATCAAAAAATGAAAACACACTAATCGAGTCTGATCAGAACACATATTTATTGTACAATCTTAGAATTCAATAAACTTTGAATTTCCTCATTTGTCTTGCCCTTGGTCTCGGGCACAAAGAAGAACACAAACAGCAACGATAAACATGAAATAGCTACAAAAGACCAAAAGGATATTGCCATGCCAAAGATTTCCAGTGTTATGGGAAAACTTTTGGTGCTGAGAAATCCAAATAAATGAGCAATGGTCCACACAATGCCAGAGCCAACAACTTCAGCATGCAGCCGAAATAGATCCCTTATTATGACAAACGGCAGAACGCCCAGGCCCAGGCCAAAGAAGAATGTGAAGCAGCACATGCTGGACAGGGGCAGCCAGGTCAGGGAATCCAAATAGTCCACTTTGTTATCCTTAAGATTGAAGTACATTGCGTACAGTGCACAATTGAGTATGACTAAGAACACAGACCAAATTAACAACGGCCGACGACCAGCACATTCGAGCAGCGAAATTATGGTAGACAGAAAAAATGCTACACCCACAAAAATAGTGGACAGCTCGACAGTCACTTGGGAGCTCACGTCCGTTTCAATGAGAATGAATGCGGCATAGGTGATGATTGCCTTGCTGCCACAAAAGTGCTGGAAAAACATTAGTACGATGCAAATAAATAATCCCTTTAATGTTCCAGTTTGTTGTAATCTTTGGCAGGTATTTGCATAGTCCTCCCGCATTGCTAAAATATCCTGCTCCATGCGATCAATTTCCAGAATAGCATTAAAACTGCTTCCGCGCAACCATCGTAGCGATCGTAACGCCTTCTGCTTTTTATTCTTGAGCAAATAATACACTGGCGACTCCGGCATCCAGATGAAGGTCACCAGAAATATTGCTGGCAATATGGCGCAACCGTAATTCAAATAACGAAAATCAAAAAATGATCCCATTATATATGCATAAACGATGCCCAGCACAAAGAAGATCATAAAGAAATTGCCAAGGTATCCTTTTACTTCAACTTGGGCCACTTCTGAACAGTACATGGGTATCGTTATAAAATAGCAACCACAGCTGAATCCTTGCAAGAAGCGCCCTGCTATTAGCATGTACAGATTTTTTGAAAATATTAAAATTGCCCATCCTGCCAAAAATGGTGGTACCATCAACAAAGTAATTAGCTTGCGGCCCATACAATTGGCCAATGGTCCTGCTGGCATTGCCATAAAGCTGGACCCCAAACTGGACACGGAGCATACCCAAGCGTATTCACTAAGAGTCACTGCAAAGCCAAATATTTTTTTTTCCATAATATCGTGCTGTGCCGGCGCTGACCAGCCCACCGTGGCACCTACACTTAGTGCGCCAAGTGATGCAAAAAATGCAGCTATATATTGATTTTGTCCAAAGGGTCTGTCCCAGAAACTGGACATAATTTAAGTTAATATTGTAAACAACAAATACAAAACCAACTTTTCAATTTTAAAATCGATATTCACCAAAAACAAATCGAGCCCTAACAGTGCTGCCACATTGGTTTAAGATTGCGCGCAGCCAACTTCACGTGAGTTCTGTTAGCATTGTTTTGATTTAGCATTGTTTTCTTTCTGTCGTATTATATACATATTTATATGTGAGTCATCGTAAATTGAATGTATTATCAAAACTAAACTGTATTGCATCGTCATACGACCAGTATACCCTTCAAATCAAAGCTGCAAACATGTCGCTAGTAACTGACGAGGAATGGGCCCAGTTCAAGGTAATGTTTGTAAACACAACAGCGCAATAGTCTAGTTGACGCCTCTTTTTATACTAGACTACCCACAAAAAGAATTACGCCGGAGATGAAGAGCAAATGCGTCGTTCCCTCTACGAAAAAGCTAAAGCAAAAGTAGAGGAGCATAACAAGAAATTTGAAAGCGGCGAGGTAACATGGAAAATGGGCATTAACAACATGTCGGACTTTACACCTGATGAGTACGCAAATAGGTGTGGCTCAAGACCATCCAAGTAACTGGATGCATTTAAAAAATCTCATGAATCTAAAGTACAACTGAACAAATGACATATTTTATAATCATGAACTTATTCTTTTATGTACATTTTATTTACCTTATGCAAAATAAACAGCTGTAAACTGCAACTGCTTTTTACTTTACTGGTCACACTGTAAACGGACAACTGTTGATATTTTTATAAAAATGGTAATGATGAATGACATATAGTCGCATTTTGCGTGATAAGAACTATAAATTTTACAGGTGGTCTTAATAAGTGCCGTTCAGAATGACGCCTGTTATTGTATCCAACAATTGCTAAAGTATCGATACCAGCAGGTAAACCGACAAAAAGTCGTATGTAGCCCTGGTCTGAAATGTATTTATCAGTTTTCCTAACTCGGGCCACACTGCAGTCGACATAACTTTTAAAAGTTTGTAAACTTTTTTATTTTGGAACACATAGACACAAACACGTATAGATTTTGTTTTTACTTTTTTTAATAATTAACGTTGGTTTTCTGGTGCGCGTACACATTAAACTAAAGTGAATCTTCCATTGCAGACATAGCGGAGCAGCAGCAACCTCAAAAATGTACCGAATTATGCGTGTGCCATCGATTTTGGCCAAAAATGCAGTCACGTCAATGGTAGGTAGCTGTGGCCCAAACGCACTACAATTAAATTACACAATCAAGAATGCTGCGCATTTACGTGAACAGCTAACCAAATCCACATCAAGTTTGTGTTTGCGTCATTGTCGGCGCAGGCGAAAAGAAGTGCGAACAAAACGCAAACCTCACGGGTCCGTGGCGGTGTTATGTAATTTGTTAAATTTTGGCCCAGACGAATGTCTGCAGCTAAGTGTTCCCTGGCATTGCGTAAACCCAAATCATGCACCAGTTCGTCGTGATTTCACTGCAGTTGTCATTTGCCAAGCCCTATTTGTGAATGCAGCTAAAGCACAGAGGTTATGTTGCACGCAGCACCCAACGCCGCCGAACCCCCTCCCCCGGCGTCTAGTTTGGCAACAAATCGGTATTAAAATTCGGCTTTTTGATAGGTGTTGTCTTGCTTTGAGTTATTAAAGCGCTTTGCCGAGCTGATAAGCCAGCACATTCAATGCCCACATGCGAGAGAGGCGCGGCCACTGTTCTACAGCTGATTATACAATGCAAATTATTGATATGAGCTATACTTTATATTACAACTATTGCATAAGCAACTAAAATGTTAATCTGTGTGCCATTTCAAGCGCCGCTTTAACTGATAAACGCCAGACATTTATCAACACTTGTCATGGGAATGTTCCCAGGCTGCGGCCAATGGCGTGTGCTGCTCTCTTCTTCGTCTGCATAAACAAATACAAATAGAAATGTATAATGCATATGTACGTGTGTACATACATGCATGTGATAATTGGCCGTGTTTTTGCAAAACAAAATAGAAAGTCACCTTATCTCCATTAACACTTTCAGCTTTGATAATGCGGTTATTTCACGAGCTGAAATAGTTGGAAGTTCTATAAGCAGCAATAAATATAAAACTTAAGTGTTGCCCTATGTACATAAAACATATACACTAAAAGTGACTTTAGTATTTGCCCAGACCGGCTTGCCCTAGTGCCAGTGATGCGTAATACGCTTGCGTCTGTTTAAAGCTGGCTTCAAATTTAAAGAGCTAATAGAGGCAATTTTAACCTGTTGTTAGAAATGACATTGAGCGAACAACTAAAATTATATGTACTTTCGTGTATTGCGAAATTGCAATGTGCCTACAATCTGGAGACAACTTCATTATTGGTTACATGCATAATTGGATGTGCTTACAGGCTTTTTAGTATAGAATAGTTTGTTTTGAAATAGTGGGCAACACTGAGCACATCTTTGTCATATTCATTTTTTCGTGCTTTTCTTATACGATATTTGTCACGCGCGTATCACCAGCTTGGGGCAACACTTGTTGTTGTTTACCCCATAAACAATGCACATTAAAAACGAATGCGGTCATTAAATTTACAGCTGCCGTTTGCCAGACAAATTACAAAATGTAAGGACAAAGGTTATTTATCAAATATTGTTTAGGCTAAACAGCTGATCGTAAATTGGGGCTATTGTAATCTTTGGGTTACACAAATCGTGTGACTAATTGCTCTTATCTCACCGACAACAACAATAAAATACGCTTTATTAAATATAATCAATATGCAATTTGTCAACTTGTCAATTGCAGCAGCGTGTGGCAACAGTTGCTGTCGCGTCGCCGCATCAGCGCAGCTATCACATAACACCGGGGCAGCAGCAGGCGAAATCAGCGAATCCGGATGCCATTTCCAAGCAATATCCGATTGTGGATCATGCCTACGATGCAATTGTTGTAGGTGCCGGTGGATCTGGACTGCGTGCAGCCTTCGGCCTGGTCGCTGAAGGTTTTCGCACGGCTGTCATCACGAAACTGTTTCCCACACGCTCGCACACGATTGCCGCCCAGGGCGGCATTAACGCGGCGCTAGGCAACATGGAGCAAGATGACTGGAAATGGCACATGTATGATACGATCAAGGGCAGCGATTGGCTTGGCGATCAGGATGCCATACACTATATGACACGCGAGGCACCCAAAGCTGTCATCGAGCTGGAGAACTATGGCATGCCCTTCTCGCGCACCCAGGACGGCAAGATCTATCAGCGCGCCTTTGGCGGCCAGAGTCTGAAGTTTGGCAAGGGTGGTCAGGCGCACAGATGTTGTGCCGTTGCGGATCGTACGGGTCACTCCCTGCTCCATACACTTTACGGACAGTCGTTGAGCTACGATTGCCATTACTTTGTCGAGTACTTTGCGCTGGACTTGATCTTTGAGGATGGCGAGTGTCGTGGTGTGCTGGCCATCAATCTGGAGGATGGCAGTCTGCATCGTTTCCGTGCCCAGAATACGGTTGTGGCTACAGGCGGCTATGGACGCGCCTTCTTTTCGTGCACATCAGCGCATACATGCACTGGTGATGGCACCGCTTTGGTGGCACGCCAGGGTCTGCCCTCACAGGATCTGGAGTTTGTGCAGTTCCATCCCACAGGCATCTATGGCGCCGGCTGTCTTATAACCGAGGGTTGCCGCGGCGAGGGTGGTTATCTAATCAATTCCAAAGGCGAACGTTTCATGGAGCGCTATGCGCCCGTCGCCAAGGATCTGGCCTCGCGTGATGTTGTCTCCCGATCCATTACCATTGAGGTAATGGAGGGCCGCGGCGTGGGACCCGAAAAGGATCACGTATACCTGCAACTGCACCATTTGCCGCCCAAACAGTTGGCCGAAAGGCTGCCTGGCATCTCCGAGACGGCCATGATCTTTGCCGGCGTCGATGTCACACGCGAACCCATCCCCGTGCTGCCCACTGTGCACTACAATATGGGCGGCATTCCAACCAATTATCGTGGCCAGGTGTTGACCATCGATAAAGATGGCAACGATAAGATTGTGCCCGGCCTCTATGCTGCAGGTGAAGCGGCCTGTAGTTCGGTTCATGGTGCCAACCGGCTGGGTGCCAACTCTCTGCTAGATCTTGTGGTCTTTGGACGTGCCTGCGCCAAAACCATTGCCGAGGAGAACAAACCAGGTGCACCGGCGCCCACGGTTAAGGATGTGAGTGACCTACAAATAATTTCTTAAATCCGAATTCAAATAACTCTTCAATCTTTTCTAGAATGCTGGCGAGTTCTCAGTGGCCAATTTAGATAAGCTGCGCCATGCAAATGGTAATATCACCACCGCCGATCTGCGTCTTAAGATGCAGCGATGCATGCAGAATCATGCGGCTGTATTCCGTGATGGTCCCATACTGCAAAAGGGTGTGCGCGAAATGAAGGAGATCTACAAGCTATTCAAGGACGTCAAGGTTATCGACAAGTGCGTAACACCCTTGATAATGTGCCTTAAATTATAATTTTAATGGTTTTTCTGAACCTCAGATCGCTTGTGTGGAACTCGGATCTGATTGAAACACTGGAGCTGCAGAATCTGCTGGCCAATGCACAGATGACCATTGTGGGCGCCGAGGCGCGCAAGGAATCACGTGGCGCACACGCACGCGAAGATTTTAAAGTGCGCCTCGATGAATACGTAAGCAACAGAATAACAAATGCTGTTTTTGTATTCTTAATCAAGTTAACATCCATTAATGCTTGTTTACGTATATTACAGGACTACAGCAAGCCCCTGGAAAACCAGGAGAAGAAGCCCATCGAGCAACATTGGCGCAAGCACACGCTCGCCTGGGTGTGCTCCGAAGAAGGCGATATCGATCTTAAATACAGACCAGTCATCGATCACACGCTGGACAACGAGGTGGAGACAGTGCCACCAGCAATTCGCTCCTACTAGATGAAGACCTCTCATATTCACACACACACACACACACACACGAACAGAAACTATACACAAACACTCGCATGTTTACTTAACAGTGAGCTGGCGTACAGTGTTGTTGGTGCGAAAATTCGCGAGTCGCAATTTTCTATAAATTTTATGCTGCTGCTTTCTGCCGTATTTTGCAGAGATTTGTTTAAAACCCATATTATCAAAATTCTTTAGCATTGTTCTGTAATTTGATATGTCTTATATTGAAAAGCTTCTCTCTTTTGTACGCTCTACCAATGCTCTTTACAATAACAGGAAATATTTTTGTTTGTTTCTTAAATTGAAATACTTTTTTATTTAAAAAAATGTGCAAAACCTTGTCAAAGAAATTTGCGACAATGACGACGACGCCTTTTCTGTAAAAAAAAAAATAACAAAAACGTCAGGAATAAAAATTTTCTAGTATTTGTTAAATTTATTAAATTATTTAAACAAAAATATATATATAAAAACAAAACAATCTGCTAGAAAGAAAATTTTTAAACACGAAGTTTGCTTATACATTGGCGGGAAAGCAAAAACCAAAATGTATAAAAGTCTCTGGCTTATTTAGGAAAGATCATAAAAATTGACAATAAATTTTCTATATTTTGTACAAGTTGGAAATTAGCCTGATACTATAAATACAAAGAAAATTGAAAAAATAAGAAAGCTTGGTTAAGATTCCTCGAGTGAAATTGCGTCAATGTCAGCCCTGAAAGACATGCACTTGCTCAGGCTTAAGATTTAGTGCCTTCAAGCTGTCCAGCGCGGCTGTGTTGAATCCAGTAGGTCCACACACTGCCACGTAGCTGAAGGACTCGGCTTGCTGTTTATCAAACAACGGCGCTAACAGCTCCTGGCAGATGCGACCGCATTGGACTGGCTGCTCCGCCTGCGATAAAATGTGCTTGCACGTGAAACGCTCATCGGCTTCCTGTAGGGCCTGCAACTTATCCCGCAACCATATATCCGAGTTTGTCTTATTGAAGTAAAGCAGCTGCAGACGTTCGCTGTGGGAATAAATAAAATAATAATTAATAAATACAAGCATAATAGCTAAAAAAAGAAAACCGTGACTCACAGGCGATTCGTATGCCGCCGAAGCAACGGCCGCAGAAGACTTAAAATGGGTGTGATGCCGCTGCCTGCGGCCAGGAGCAAGATGTTTCGATGTGGTTCCAGCGCGGACAGCGCAAAGCTGCCCCGCGGCAAACTCAGTCGAACAGTGGCGCCTGGTTGCAGCTGATGCAACTGCCTGGACACTGCACCATTCTCATAATACTTGACAAGAAAGTCCTGCCTGATGCCTGGACTAGAGTCTGTGTCTATTTGAGCGCTGTTGGAAGGCAGGCAGTTGTGGGGCACGGGTGTATAGCTGCGCTCTAGCAGCTGGCCATTATGTGGCACTTCGATGTCCAGATGATAACCCACTGGCACATGCATGAGCACCGCCTCTTTGACGCTCTGGAGACTCAGTTGAAAGGAGTCGTGATTAAAGTCAGCGCAGTGTAACACTTCATATTCATAGTGTTCCTCACTTGGTGCATTCAGCTTGTCAACCTTCTGGCTGCCATATGTTGTCCAGGGCTCTGCTACCTGCTTGCTAAGCACCACTTCAATTTTACCTGTTTCATGACCAACACGCACAGCCTTTGGTGGCCAAACGACGGCGTCGCTGAGCTTAAAATCGAAGACATGCCAACTGCTTGCCAATTGGATGTACAGCTCCAGGGCGTCAGCAGCGGACTTGCGTTTCAGCAGCATCCCAGGATTAGCCATGCGTCGCGTATAGAAGCAGAGTGTCAATTCGCTACGCTGTTGTATCCAATCGAAGCGCGGTACAAGTTCCGTTGGCGCTGGCGGCGGTCGAATTGCCACCGTTTGCACTTTGGCAGTAACGTTTTCTTTCAGCGGACCCACATAGCATTTGCCGAGCAATTGGGGATAGTTGACCCAGGCGTGCACTTCGTCAAAGAGTTTGGTAGCATCGCGTCCAACACCGCGCATCAGCTCATCCACACCGCCCGGATGAAAGTCCATGTATCGTGTCACATTAAATACCTTGCCCCGTATGGCCATCCAGGCGTCATTGACCTGATTGTGCTTGGCTAGCTCGGCACGGCTAACGGGTACAACGCGTCCACCGGTGCCAGAGAGATCATCGCCCGAATTGCATAAGCGTACCCAGCTCATCAAGGAGTAACCAGGCTTGAGGGCGCATTTGTTGCGCGGATTGCCCGTTGCCGAGCCCGAGCCTGTGTTGTTGGAGCCTACAGTCAATTTCTGTTGCGCCGAACTCGGCAGCTGCAAATTGCTGATGGATAACGCAGCCACAGCTGGCGGTTTGAGCGGCGCTTTATCCTTTGAGGTGGGTGGCTTTAACTTCGAGTCGGCCATGGTGCAGTTTAATAATTTGGATCAACAGCTGAAATCGGATTAATCGATTTGTAAACTAAATCAGCTGCTTGACATCGATAACATTGGTGTGCGTAGAAGCTGCGATATCGATAACAAAAGTTTACTAAATCACTTAAAATTATATTGTGCAAACCCAACAATGTATTTAATTGCATTCAGCATAAAAATCGTTGCCACATAACATTTACATATATTTAAATAAATATAAAGGATTAGCTCTCCCACATTGCACATAGCAAAAAGTTTCGTTAACATTATAACGCAAGCTGTGTACCAGCCTCAATTCTTACTAGTGCACAACAAACCAGCTCCGTTTTGTCAGTTTTCAACGAGTCGGTCAGCTGTTCGGATCGTTGTAATTGCGGGTAAAATTCCTGTCGCCTGACCATCTAATTTTGTGTATGCATTTTCAATTGCTATTAACCGAATGCCGTGTTCATTTTGTTCGGATAGAAATAACGAAAAATAATCAATTTAAGTGTCATTATTTGTGCGACTCAGCACGCATAGAGAATAATTTAGTTTGTATGTGTGTTTGTGCAGTGTTTAATGGAATGACAACCATAAATTGGCGCATTATTTGACGCCTCATTGGCGAACCGGTTCCGTGTAAAATGAGTGAAAGACAGTGCAAAAAAAAGATTTTTGTCCAATGCAATGCATAATTATGACAATGAATTACTGTACATATATGTATGTGTGTGAATACGTGAATGCGTGTTTGTTTGTATTTAACGTTTGGGGCGTGCACTTGCAGCATTTGACATCAACAGGCTGCTTGTGGTTTTTGTGCAGCATATTATTACTACACATATGAACTTTTTATCCTTTTACAACATATTTTTTGTTGTTAGCATGATGTCATCAAGCGAACGCTTGCCGGTTGTTTCGGTTGCTTTGCCACCCTGACGCACAAATACTCACACACATTTGCACACCCACACAAACAATTGCTCCATTCATTTCACTATTTAATCCAATAGCTGCCAACTGCGCCAGCGGATTCTCGAGTTTGACACTTGATTAGTTGTGAGCTCTTATACACTTACTCTCTCTCTCTCTGCAGTTTCTCTCACGCAACAAGTGTTAATAACGTCTTAAAATGTGCCTATCATAAATCAAAATTTGACCTGCACGCACGTTTGATGACTCTGGCGGTAATCTTATCGGGCTAATAATCAGGTTTTTTACTTGCTTCATGCTCCATATTGTTGCTTGATAATGTATCAAACTATGCCCAAATCAATTGCTAAATTTACTATTAATAATTAGCAGTTGATTCATTTGTGTTAAATTTCATTTGTTGCCATGTGTAAATTGAAGCGTGCCCATTCCCAGACTCGAGCAATTCAATTAAACTTATTAAGAAAACAAACATCGCTCGAACAAGTTGCGATATGCTGCCACAACAACAGATGATAAGAAATTGCGACAATAATAATAATAACAACAACAACAGCAATAGTAGACGCTTGTTCAAGCTATGACCATGACAAACAATTACAAAATACCAACGCAATGTGTGAGATAAGAAAGTGGCGAAAACACAGCCGGCGCCCTTCAACTTGACGAAACTTAGACGAAGAGAAGAGAGAGAGAGCGAGATAGAAAAAGAGACAAACAGGATATGTAGCGGCATACGCTGCCTATGTATACCCTGTGAATATAATGATTGAAACTAAAGCTATTTTAAAATCGTACATTTTAAAAGAAAATGTTTCCTGAGTTAAAAAAATCAAATGCATGTTAAAAACTTTGTTGACTTATACATTATTTGTGCACAAAAAGTAGGACTCAATTTATAAACAATTAATTCAAGTGAATTTGATACTTTAAACCCCATTAAATTTTACGTACGCTATTTACAGGGCATACCCTAGTTAAGCACTCGCGATTCTAGCATGACTAGTTCAAGTGTTATCACATTTTCGTTTTAAGTTATGGCTGCAGCTGCGGATCGTGAAATCGTCGCAACGATGAGTCATTTTTTGTGGTCTCCACATATCGTACATGCAGCTGCGGCGGTGTGGGTGCTTACTCTGTCTCTATATCTCTCTCGCGCTCTCTCGCTCTCTTTCTGTGTGCAGCTTTATGGGTATACGCTTTTATATGCCCATTCTTTGTCTTGTTATTGTTTGGACATTGCCTTCTTTTCCCTCTATAATCTCTGCTGGTCGGCTATCATTTAAGCCCAAAGTAAACTCCGTCTGCTAATTCGACACCATTCATGGCGAACGATAAGATAATGTGCATGCAGCAGATATATAATTTCAACTCTACATATGCCAGCAAAATAATAAGCTGTATAGATTTTGTCGTTTGATGAACTTGGTTGAGGCGGCCTTTTTTTTTTTTTACTTTTTCTATTTATCAGGCAATGCCACTTAACCAATTTCCAATGGTCGCTCCCAAACTAGAAAGTTGCGTGTCTATAGCTAATTCTAACTTGAACAAAATTCTCGATTCCGTAAGCTCTATTCCATCATACAAACCAATGAAAACATTGATTTATTTTATATACAAATTCATTAATCCCTTAGATCCCCTTGTGGGTGCGCTATAACATAATTAATTAGCTATAGAAAATCTTAAGTGCTTTAACTAATATATTACGACTAAACAATTAGCAATATTTTAGTTTGTATAGCTATATTTTCTGAAAAGTCATTAAAATACGTATGTATGTGTATGCGGGGCAAATGGAAAATTTTGCGTTCTTCAATTATCCATTGCGTGTTCATATGCATACCCTAAGTTTTTCCCTTCGCTTTTATATTTGCGCTTGTACATTTTATAAGTAATATAGATGCCCGTCTTTGTTTCGGAAATGATATATACCCATAAAGTCAATTTATAAGTAAATTAAATTCCTGTTCTTATTTCGGATACAATCGATTTATTTATACTTCAAGATATAACTGGGTATACTAAGTTAAAAACTGCTGGAAAAATTGTCATATAAAGCCTTTTGATCGTTTACTCTTTAAAGAAAAGGACACAATTTTGGGGGAAGATATTTTGGCACTTTTTACAGGGTATTTATGGGGCGTTCTTTGTCAAGTGAAACAAACTTGTTATTGTTTATGATTGGCACTTTGTGGAATCTTTTGCTAGTTCTGTACACTATATCCATAGCTCGTCGAGCCTTCAGTCATGTATCGTTTCCGATCTGCTGTGGGCAAAGTTTTGTGGTCCCAGACATCGTAAACTTGATAATGCATGACTCACGCCCGATCTGTAGGCTAACGTGGCGATATTTAAGTGGCTGCTTTGACAGTTGCTGGCAATTGATTTCTAAAAACTGTGGATGTTCGGATGTTCGCATATAATTTATTAGCACGCAGAATGAATTCAAATTTCAAAATTTCTATCAAATATGTCCATAAGGAATCAATTGAAATCAATAAATGTAAAGCGTATATTCATAGGCAATATTAATGGACAATAATAAGAGATCCAGTCTATAAAATGATCAGAATATGCATCTGCTTTGCTTCTCCATATACATTTCAGGCAGTCTCTCTTAATCAGGAAATAAAAAACTTGCATATCAGATTTTTAATACAATTAACATAAGCTTCATGTGTAGTTCGTTCACTTAACTAAGGCAATGAATAATGGCATTCAATTAAAGTTCTTTGTTGGCTTAGCTTTAATGCCATTTTATGCCAATATTATTATCTTTTGATCTTCTTTTTATTTGTCAGAATTGTTATCACTGCATTAAAGTTTTTATTGAATTTCATTTAATTAAATTAATGTAGTTTTTGCAAAGATACAATTTATTTATATTTATATTAACACACGCGCTGTTACTAGCACGGCCATGTTAAGCAGCTGTAAACAGACTGTTAAGTTTTTGTGCTCGCATATGGGCGTATTTTTTTTGCCTAGCTAAACCAATGTACACAGACCCACAGACCTGCATATACTAAGTATATATTCTTATTTGCAATTCGATAATAGAATGTGTTTACATAAGATTGTTAAAGAAAATTTTGCCGGGCTATGCCTGAACGCAATCTAGACTTATGTTTATCCGATTAAGATTTCTTGAGTTTTTGCCAAGAATTGTATTCCTATATTGTTTTTTTCTCACTTTCCCTTTGGCAGAGAAACAACACATGGGCCATAATAAGAACAGGAAAAGGAATACAATCAAAGATACCAATTGCTAACAATATAGAGCTATAGCATCACATTCCATATCAGACGACGTCATGCCGCAGAAGCAATTGCAGCCGGAGAAGGTGCCGCTAGGACGCACCATTGGCGCCTTCCTGTTTGGCCTGCTGCAGTCCTTCTTTCGTTTCGTCTTCCGTTTGATCTATGGCGTCAGCGGGGATCGCATGCCGGCCATAACGGATCCCATACTCCTCGAATCGGCCACATCGCTGGCAACCAAAATTCGCAACCAAGAGGTGGACACTTACTTTCCTCTTCCTTGCACTGGCCATTAATGCGCTCGTTCTTTTCTCAGCTAAGCAGCGTTCAGGTTCTGGAATCGTTTATACGTCGCGTTAAGGAAGTAAATCCTTTGCTCAATTGCGTGGTAGACGAGCGCTACGATGAGGCTTTAAAAGAAGCCGCCGCAGCCGATGCACTCATCAAGTCCGGACAGTACACAGTGGATCAGTTGGCCGAGCAGAAGCCATTTTTGGGTGTGCCAATTACAACAAAGGACTGCATATCGGTTAAGGGTGAGCCTATAACAATAAATTCGGATATATTAAATGTACTCTACCAATGCTGTAATTCTCTCTCCAGGCATGCTGCATACGGCTGGACTTTATTCGCGTCGCGAGTTACGCGCCGAGAAGGATGCGGATGCGATGGCATTGATGCGCAAAGCCGGCGCTATTCCCTTTGCGCTGACCAATGTGTCGGAGGTGTGCATGTGGTGGGAGAGCAACAATACAGTGCACGGTAGGACGCGCAATGCCTACGACACGAATCGCATTGTGGGCGGCTCTAGCGGCGGCGAGGGTTGCGTTCAGTCGGCCGCTGCCTCACCCTTTGGCCTGGGCTCA